AATAGCAGCTAATGGACAACTGATGCTCTGCACGGAAACAAATATTAACAATCTTAAAAACACAAATATTTAAAAACCAGTGTGTAGGATTTAGTGGCATCTAGCAGTGAACTTACAGATTGCAACCAACTGAATACCGTTCACTTTCCAAGTGTGTAGAAGAAACTACGGTGCTGTACGGTGAATTTTTATACAACTCACCCATTTAAATTATATCAAGGCTTAAAGTTATGCATGATTAGGAACGTTCCTGCTTTAAGTGACTGGTGGGTGCCTTCACAGGCAGCTGGTTTCAGCAACCAGGCTTCATTTGGCCCATCTAAGCTCCACCCTCACTCCACCTTTTTGCCCATTTTTTGATTAGCCGGGATCTGCCAGAATCGGGACTGCCAAGATGGCGCCAGTCAGAGCCAATCACACAGAGCTTCAGAATGGCTCATCAGAAACCTATGGGTGATGTCACTGAGACTGTTCATTTTTAATTAAATGCAATGGCAATATAATCCATTTCTAGCAATAGCAGTCCTCCTAAATGTTCCAGACTTTACCTTGAAACTACATGACTTAACTTTAAAAATCCTGGTGCATCAATTTACTTTCCTACCAACTAACAGCCGCCTTCAACCCAGCAGGGGAGCAGGTCTGAAATACATTAAATGTCACAGGCACATTCACAACCTGCCAGCATTGGAAACACTACACACAGAAAACAGCCTTAGGCCTGCCACTTGCTCCTGCACTCTCGTCTTCTGTGCACGCCAGCATGGAGTGAGGTATACACCTGCCTCACTTGTCCGGCTTGAGCCAACATCGCACCCTGCGTTCCTCCTGCAGGTAGCCCTGTTACTGCAAACCACTGATTAGTGCACCTTCCTGTTTTTCACCTGCCCCACAGACATAACCACTTAGTGTGCTATTATAGCTGGTTTTGAGTTATTAAATAGGATTTCTGGAGGATTCTATGTTTAACCTAGATCAAAGTCTAAACGGGCTTTGTCTTATAAGGACAAGATAAACTATATATCTGGTTCTAGGAAGACCTCCCATTTGTAGGAGTGCAACTGCCAAAATAAAACACTGTAATTTGGCAGTTGCCTCACAGCTTCACAGAGTCTTGGCACAGATAAGTGTCTGGTGTTCTACTAGAGAGTTTTGACACCATTCCCGTACCAAAAATTCCCTCGTTTGGGTGTTTTCTGCTGATAGTAGCTGACGCTGTCTCAGACACCAATCTGGACTCTCCCATATGTGTGAAATTGGGTTGACTGGTGATGACTGAAATGGCTGTGATGTATGTTTGTGAAAAACAAGCTCTGTGTGAGTGAGGCTGACTTTGGCAACATTGCTTCCATTTGGTAAAAATGGGACTGAACCATTGTTTTCTCTACAGGCTTGATGTGTTGACGATTCACAGGGTTGTCCGTCTCTTTTCGGGTAGTGTTTCAACATCAAATGTTGTAGCCATTTGAAGTTTTTTTCAAACTGCCGTATGCATTATTAATCTCTACTTACTAGAGATGTTGAAGGTGCAGAGGTGGTGCTGCCTCTTCACTTTTCTCAATATGTTATCGAAGCCCAGAGGGTCTGTCAACACACTTGTTGAGGTCAATCTTTTTCAGAAAGCCAATCCAAACTTAAACATTTTCATCTCTTTCTTTCTGGCAGCCCTAAAATGAATGACTTTGATTATGTTTCCATTGCTACCTCAATCTGAGAAGCTGTGAGTAGGAATTCTTATCAGTAACACTTTGTGTGACTGAGATTCGCCTTAAAAACTATTAACAGCAACACAGCCACACTGGGAACATGGGCTCCTCAAAACAGCCAGCACAACAACCTTTCCCTCTGCTAATAGCAGGTCATCAGATCTGATTTGACTTGTTTTGGTGTGCACATATGTTCATATTTAGCCTGTCGAGAACAGGGTGAAAAGGATAACTCATCTGAACATTTTCTTTTTCCCCACTGACATGAACAAACATTATCTGTGTGCTTTTTGCACCACTTCACCTGAGATGAGAGTTTTTTTTTAGGTGAATGCGGTTGTTTATGTTCTGCAGTCCTAACATGAAATGTCATATATTGTCTTTTTCCATTTACTGATTTTACGCAACTTCAGGGAAATCGTGATTTAGGGATACGTAAGTTCATCCAAAGTTAACCAAAGCATTCTCCCATTAAGACCCGCTGTCTTAATGAAAGAAAAGTACAATCTAGAGCTCTCCTTAACTTGAACTTACCTGCGTTTCCTCTGTACTTAACAAAGTCAAACATTTTTGTGTGTGTGTCGGTTTAAAGGTTTAAACACAGATGGAGACTCAAGAGCACTGTTGGGGCCAGTGTTGTGTCAACATCTCTTTCCCTGTCGATATGTGTCTCTCTTTACCTTAACCTTTTCCCACCTTATCCCTAATCCCAACCAATTATCTCTGCTACACCTAACCATGTAACCTGAGCCCTAACCCCACCCATGGAGGTGGACACTACTCTAACAGGAGGTAAACTCGAGGGGGGAACAGACTTCAACACAGGGACGATGTAAGTAAATCGGTTGCCCAAAACAATGTTAAGAGCACCAGCACTGTTTTTTGTTTTGCTCCACAGCACAGACTCTTATATATTTCTATCTTGTCTCACTGTACTATTTTTCCCTCTGCTGCTTAGTTGTGTTTTTTTTTTTGACAGACACAGAGAAATCTTCAGCTCCACCTTTTAATTTGTAACTGCTGACTCCAGCTCGCTTTAAGTGGCTCCAGTATATAACATTTAGGAGGATTTATTGGCAAAAATGAAATATAATATTCATAGGTATGTTTTCATTAGAGTATAGTCACCTGAAAAGAAGAATCGTTGTGTTTTTGTTACCTTGAGCTGTTTTTATCTACGGAGCGGGTCCTCTTCTACGGAGTCTGCCATACTGCCATGTTTCTACAGAAGCCCAGAACGGACAAACCAAACACTGGGTCTAGGTAGGGCCTTTCACATGTTTTGCGGCCACTGTAGTTTCTCCTATACTCCTGGAAGACTGAGCTGTATTCTAATTGTTACAATCTGCAACTTCACTGCTAGATCCTGAATCCTTGTAATAATGGCCTCCAACGTGTTAACCTGACAATGTATTTTACTGATGAAATCTCATCATTTTATATCTAAAATCAAGCTAAAATCTTGTCACCCTGGCTGGAGCTGAAGCCACTTCTTGTCCATTCAGACCAAACTGAGTTATCAAACTCTAGGCTTGCATTAGTAGTTTGTCATCATACAGTCCACTAACTCATAATCTATTGTGGCATTGTGCCATTTTAAATGCTATTAAATATCTGTCCTTATCTTGATTTTAAACGTTCTCTCATGATGAATAAATCAACGCAGGGAATTGTGTCTTAGGAGAATAAAGGTACCCAACAGTCTCTGGACAAAAGGGCCCATAATTTCCAATCTACAACACTGTCCCCAGATCCTGATGTCAATATCAGTGATAATCAAAGTAATTAGCAAGTCATTCCACAGTATTTTTACATCATGTTGTGTGTAAGGTGGAGGGTCGTCATTCTCCCTTCTGTTGGGCGATATACTCACAGGAATATTCTGGAATCAGAAATAACTGTTCAGAATAAGCCTTCAATAATAGAGAGTACAGAGCAGCAAGATTTTATTCAAAACTCCCCCATCACAAATTAGAACTTCATTACTCAAACAGTACATGCAGGCATAGTCAAATGATTAACACAGTATCAGCTCTTTATCCATAACTCTAATACAATTCATTCGGGTAGAGTTATATTAGCATATTAATAGTTATTTCAGGATTCTTTATTGATCCCTGAGAGAATCATATTTTTCTCTTGTATCCTTTTCTCTCAGGGTATCAGATCAAATAAATCTGATATCATTTTTTAAAGCAGATATTGTACAAAATTAAAAGTTTTTAATGAGACGACGCAACAGACTTATCTGTGAATAGAAGACTAGAAAAAAACTACTAGTTAAAATAAAACTATAAAGGAGATTTTATGTAAAAAATAAAAAACACAGATGGCAAGGGCGCAGTGTTTTACTCAGGGACACTTCAGCTGACGAATGACTGCTGACAGAACGTGTACAAAAGGGACAGCCCACCGACTCACAATGCTGCTCCTCCACTCCAAGAAGCTCAGCTGAAGAGCAGAGTCTAAACTTAGTGATAGAAATTGGCCGGAAGTTGAACCAGAGAGCACTGAACGAGTGACAAGCTGAGCCAAAGCCAATGACTTCCTGAGCTGGCGAGGATCAGTATGATCACTGTATTGTCGAGTTAGAAGTCTCTCTTAAAATAAGTACCCTCAGCGTCCCGAGCACCATGGCCACTTGAGAAAGCACTGATTTTTGCACCGGGGACAAGGTGAAAAATCTTTCCCAAGGAGTCCATGAATGTTAAAACCCTGTCACGGTTTTATCACTTTAAAATAAAGAAGAGTCTTAACATACTGAATGACTGGCCTAATTTGATAGAAGCTGCCCCTCCATATTGAAACCGAAAGATGGTCTGAAAAACTCATAAACAATGTTGTGATTGGCTAAAAGTCATTTGTGATGGCTTCATGATATTTATAGTTATTTTTATTGTATTTATTTCCATTTGTTGTTGGGTTGAATGTGTGATTTTCCATTGGTTTTGTGTATATTTGAACCCATTTTGTCTATATTTGAAGTGTATTATGTATGGGATTTTTATGCCAGAATCAAAATTTCTTGTTTCCAAGTTAAACAACACTGTTTCTACAGTATATTGCTTGTAGATTTACTTTTATTTTTACTATTAACTACATTATTCAGTTTCCATGAATTCAAAAAAATACACAGAGCAATATAAAAACCTAGAAAAACTATTCAAAACATAAAGAGTCAATAATTTAAACAGAAACGTGGGTGAGAAAATGAACAACCAACAACTTTGGAGGGAGGAGAAAACTACACTACCCAAAATACACTGCGAGTACACTTTTACTACGGCAAGCAGGAAGAAAAATTGGTAATTTGTTTGACACAAATCAGCTTGTAGAGCTTCAGCGTGAGTTTGTTAGCAAAACGAAATAAGTTTAGTAAACGCGTGAGCTTGTCGTAAATAAAATAGTGTTACGGGTTTTTTTTTTCTTTATCGTCGTGAACTTCAGAAGTAGCGTCAATAAAGTCACTCGTACTCGTAAAAGTTAGCTATGTAACTTAGCCGCGAAAGCTAAAAACAACTGTAGCTGTTCAGGTAGCTTTTAACTTCCCTTAAACTAGCAGATGACAATGTAAGACCATGGTGGTTTTGAGAGGAGGGATGTGCCCTGGACTGGATGAGGATTTAGTGCGTGGCCTGCGTGCTGTCGATATTAAAACAGGTAGGGACGGCTAGGGGGTGTGTGTTGTGTGTGTGTGTTGGTGTGTGTGTGTGTTGTGTGTGTCGTGTGTGTGTGTGTGTGTGTGTGTTTTGAAGATGCTTCATGTTAATAAAAAATGCAAGTTAGCAATAACAGGCATGCTTTTCTTTGCTTTCACAGTGGAGGATTTGGTCTCGTCGGACATAGAGGAGCTTGCTCAGAAATGCTCAGTATCATATAAGGTATGTATATCATGCATTCATTAAATATGGAGCTCAGTCACTGAGGTGGAGCTCCCTGGAAACTATGCATGTCAGCAAGCAAACACCCTGGGAATCAACCTGGCCAGATTGGATTGTCACTTTCCAGTTCAGCCACATTTACCCCACATACACATTACTCCAGTGGTTCCCTGCCTTATTCATTTGGGGACCCCTTTCCCATTGAGTAAAGTGACGACACCTGACTGATTTCAGTACACTCCGCAAAGATGAACACCTCAAATTAATGAACATAATGACTGCAGGAAGGTTGTGTAAAAGGAGCAATGTGGAGGACGTTCTAGCTGATTATTTCTTTTCAATATTGCATCAGTGTTTTTGTTTTTCTATATATTTTTAGGAACTTTTCTACAGTTCTCTGTCTGTATTATGTGTTTTCTTCTGTTTTAACCACCCATAATACTCGATAGGCTTCCTTTTGTGGACAAATTAAATTTTCTTCTCTCTGTCCACTTGGCCGTGTTCAAGTTAGCCTAATAGTTTTGTAATTGGCAGACAAGCTGGTTATTCAGAGAGCAAAGGCTCTGTGGAGTTATAACTTGTTAAGGTTCTTCCAAAGTTTAGATCTTAAAATCTAAACTTTTTAAAAATAACTATTTTATTTTATTTCCACAGAAATATATAAATGCTGAGATGATATAGGGCCTCACTTCTTTTTGAAATGTTTTCTTACACCCCTTAAAATAAGAAGGCCTCACAGCACCCCTGGGAAGCTTTTAGGCGACCCCCCCCCCCCGCGGTTGGGAATCACTGTATTTCACCATCAAATCCAGTAGGAAACGTGCTGCTCTAATTAAACCTCTTGAACCAAATGTCCTCATTGGAACATAAAATATGACAGTTCCTTGTAATTAATCAAATTCATAGTTTACGTTTGTACTGTTGGAATGACTTGAAATGCAAACACAAGACACCCACATTCCATACTTTGCATAAACAGTGTGGAGTGGGGGGGCCCTGACCAAGATCATGTTCATATTAGATAAACCTTTACCCACACGCAGCATGTCTCTCGGTGTGTAAGTGGTTAATATTATGTTGGCTACATATTGTTTTTTTTTTTTTTTTAAGTTAACCTTAATATAAGCACTACTCCCTCTGGGCTTGTTATGTATCGCCATAGCAAGGCAGGTCATCTGGTTAACAAGCCAGGCGAAATAGTTTCACAACACGGGTTCAATTGAAGGATGAAGATCGCTTTTGCCTTCTCTTCTTTTCTGTATATTTTATTGAAATTTTCCCACTCAGCAATTACAACTGGACTATATTGTTTCCTGTAGATATAGCAGAGAAGTCAAATATCAAGAATTGTAAGATGGATCTAATGTATGTTATCTGTATGTGTACACTAAGCAATGAACAATAGAAGCGTTTCTAGCCGTCAGGAAAGCGAAACTAAAAAAAACTCCTCCTTGGGTCTCCCACAAAGTCTTCCAATATCAGTTTGAACTGACTAAGAAAGGCCAGTACTTTCAGTTTCAAATCAGTTTGCAGTGAGAACCACGGCAAGAGAGCAGAGATCATGAAAGAAACTCAGTTCTGACCTTGTGGGTAGATAACAGGAAACTATTTTTTAGATCATAAATAGTGTTTCCCTCCAAACTTTTTCAGAGATATAAGAGTGCAAATAATCAGGAAGGAGACCCAGGAGGGCCTTCTGGATAAATGCGTACCAGTGAATAATTGTGTGGGTGGACTGGGCATGGAAGTCAACCCAAAGCGTTCTTGGTTTAAAAAAAAAAAAAAAAAAGATGAGCGAGAGCTTCAGTAATACACCCTCTGTGATCAGGGTCTGCACATGCAGTCTGGACACGTATTGGAAAATAATTTTGCAACCACAAGGGATTTAAAAACCTCTGAAAATTACAAGAGAAAGTTCAGAAAAGTGTGTAATATAATCTGCTCTCTACATACTCCTGTCACTGCACATTTTCTTTCCGCCCCTCCAGCTTACATATCGTAGTCGTGTGAGTTAAGTAGCTCCTCGATTGTGGTCATTTGAGTTAAAAGTTTGAGATTAACAGAATGAATGAAAGTTTTTTTTTTTTTTTTTTTCCCCCCGCCATGAGATTATTACATTTTTAGCCTCTTCTTTTGTCCATCACTGCCTGCAGGAGGTTCAGATTCATCCTAGTGACAGAGCTAGACTTCCTGCCCAGCTTGTTAGCCTGCAGGCATCCCCTGAGCTGATACTCAGCGTCCCTCTGGTCCATCAGACTCCTGCTGTTGATTTGAACCATTGTTGAGCACACGCATTACGGCGGCGAGGAGGTCAATGTAAGGTCAGCTGCACGGACACGTTTATCTGACAAGCAGCCTTCTGCAGTTCAATTAAAGCTGCACAAGGCAAGGTTTTTATGTAAAAACACACCCATCCTAAGTTAGGGCCGCCAACATTTCCACTAATTGAGACCCAACAGATTTGCCTTACTTCCCTAAATAAATGTCTGCTGTTGAACATGAACTCTGGTAGGAAATCCTCTCTGCCCAGAAGAGGAGACTAATCAGACTGTAAGCCTGCTAAACAGCAGTACAAGCTCTTTCTACAGAAGGCTGGGCTTTCCCCTATGGTCTGTTTTCATATAAATCATCGCATCCCCCGCTGGTTAGTGAACAATATGTTTTCATGCAGTGGACTGACCTCAGGTTGTAAAATCAAGTGGAATGTTGTCCCCTCTCTAGCGCAGTGACATCAAATAAGCTAAAAACTGCACTCAAGCAAATTAATTCAATTCCTAGACAATCACATACTTATTTTATTAAAAGCAGAAATCCAAAGATCTCCTCGGGTGATGGCATGAAAGAGCTGTAGTTTTGACCAGGTCTGCAACTATTGATTAGTTTCATTATCAATTCATCTGTAGATCATTTTCTTGATAAAACAATGAATTGTTTGGCCCATAAAAGCCTAAGGTGACGTCCTCAAATGTGTTGTTTTGTCCACATACTCTGTTTTCTGTCATAGAGGAAAAAAATCAGGGAAAAAACAAACAAAAAAATTATTAATTGATAATCAAATTAGTTGTCAGTTAATTTAATAGTTGACAACTAATCGACCAATCATTGCAGCTCTACTCAGGACCTGATTGGTCAGCCATGCTGTGTTTCTTTTTTTCCTGTTATTGTTGAGATGAGGAGCGTTTGTTCATTTGCCTCAGGCGGTCATGATGTGGCTCCGCACACATTCAGTGTGCTTCTTAGGGATTTTTCATAAAGAGAGAGATTTAAAATGGTGAGTGGAGTAAATGTAGCTTTTGCAATGTGACATATTTCCAAGTGAATGGGATCGATCAGATTGTATTGGGACTGGACCCTGGACTCTCAGATTTACAGCCCGATTCATCTGGCCCACAAGCGGCCTAGTGCGGGAGGTGGTGGCGGTTCCCGACAGCCTTAATGCATTCTGGGTATTAATTAGCATAGTGGTTTGGAGTGCAAGACCACCCACACTTAAATCTAGTGTCAAAGGTCAAAATTTGACATTGAAAGACCGACCCGTGATGGATACTGTGACCCACAGACTGGTGCCGTTTTATAGGATGGGACGGATTAGCTGGATGCTATATTGTATTTTACTTTTGGCTGGATTCATGGATACGCCCTCCAGTGCAGGATGATTCATCAAAAATATTTTACCATTCCACAGGAGGAGAAAAGAGGGTGATTTTCTTTTTAAATGTATATTTTATATTGCAGAACAATTAACACAGGTACCTCAGTAGACCGTGGAAAATGTATTTTTTATTTCGCTCGATCTTTAAGTTGCACGTTCATGTGGGAAACTTCTGCTTCAAAGACTCTTGTATCAGCATCAGTATGCAAGCTGATTGATTGGCCAGTGGAAATCCAGTGAAGTAATGACTTTCTGTGCCATCACTGTGTGGGATCTAGGGCTTACGCCGGGCTGAGACATTTTGTACTTCTCTCCTTTATAAATGAAAAAAGCAAGAAGAATGTGATTCGGCGTGGAACTTTTTATTCATTTCCAGGAGTTCAGTTCAAGGAGACGAAGCCTTGTTGAGGCAATGAGACTTTCCAGCCAAATGTTGTGATAACTAGGTTCATTTCTTGAGGCTTCAGGTGGCCACAAGGGGCAAATATCCAGCATTATATGAAGGGCTCAGTCCAGACATGGAAATATCTCATCTCTCACCTTCAGCGACAGTTTCTGTGACCCTGTGGTTTCGTTGAGATGGGATGTGGTTCAATCCCTGTCGAGATCAGTGTTGACTTTAGTGATAATGATCGATCTGCAACATTATATTGACTCCATTATAATTAACTGAATAATAACTCCTTGTCGTGAGTGTCTTGACATATATTTCATTGGTGTGAATGTTTTTCTGTTGTGAAATGTAAATAAAGAGAAGATTTGTGTCTCAACTGGACAGTGGCAGTGCTTATTTTAATTTTGCAATGAAGTTGCTTGTGTAGAGCGGTGTGAGTGTACTCACTTGGAAGTTAAAATGTCTACATAAGCAATATGCATAGATGAGAGATATCAAATTGATGTGTTTTGCTGCATTATAGAATATCTGGTTTTTGGACCGCCACCTTGTGCTATGAGCTCCTGTGATGTGTGTGCCTTTGTTTTAGCTTTCTTTTTCTAATATATTTTTAGACAACAGCGCAGTCATAAAGTATGACATAACACTGAGTTTAAAAAGTGAAGATCGTTTACATTAAAAACATAATGAGATGTTCTGTTTCCTCTGCGCAGAGCTGTCGGTGTATGTGTTAAACATGTGTGAAACGCTGTGGACAACCGCTGCTCTTAATGCAGCTGCGTGTAAAGGCTGAAGGATGAGCGAGAAAGGAAAAACTACAGAGAAAAAGAACGAGGTAGCAGAACGTGATTGGCATTTTTAGCGGTCTTCCGACTCCCGACTCCTAATTGAGTAAACAAAAGATAATCCCACAAATCAATACAGAAAATAATTGTTAATCCCAGCACTATCCCGAACCGTTGTGGTTGTATATCCAAAACTAAACGGTGATGTGAGAGGGCACAGGAGGAGCAGACAGTGTGGACATGATTACATTATTTCAAAAATCCTCCTACTCACATCCAAACAAGCCAACATTTTACCTTGTTCCATGTATTATAATCACGTTGGCTCAATTGGGCTGAAAACTACCCAATCGGGCAACTCTGGCCGAGGGAGATGAGTACATGTGTTGTGGCCGAAGCCGTGCACCAGTGGTGTGAGCTTCATATGCTGTAATTTGATGTGTTTCAGGCACTGTTTGCCATCCGTCGAGTGCTGCTGGCCCAGCACACCGCATTCCCCGTGTCAGGTGCTGATCTGTATGAAGAACTATTGAGCTCAACAGCCATCCTCTCCACTGGAAATCCCAGGTAACGACAGTTCTGCACACACAGCAGAGCACGCCGCTTTGTCTTTTGGGGGACGGGGGGATTTAACGGTGGGCTCAGTGTCACAAGAGCTTAAAGGAAGGTTCACCTCCAGTATCAAGCAGTAGCAAATATGTATTCCCAAAGACAGTTCAGAGTTAAAGCATATTTCCCCAGTGTTCACTTCAGATGCAGTGATTTTTAGCGGTGATGCTTGTTTAAGTGTATAGCGGCTTCTTCGTCAGTGCCACCTCATATTATCTCAGAATAAAGTTGTTGATTGGTTAGGTGGTAGTAGCTGCATTTTGAGCGGTTCGATAGACGAAGGAAGTGATGGTTGACGCTAACAAAAGGTTTTACATGCTATGCCAAATTATTTGTGCTTCAACTGCCATTGCTGATCATTTTTGGCAATTTCATTATGTATTTATGCATTGTGTTGCTCTTCAGACCAGTACTGAGTGCCTGACTACAATCCCAGGCTAATATGTAAAATCAATCGTATGTTTTGTAACCAGATTCCTCTGCATTGATCCATTTTTATCAAACTAAAATCTTTTCAGTGTTGTTAAAATTGAGTTTGCATTGACCTATGCCGGTAGAATATGCATTTGGAGTATGGAAGCTGTAGTTAAAAATACAGCAGAGAAATAGAGCGTTTTAGAAATTACCTCTGTGCTTCATTTTAGCTACAGAGGACTTCTTTGTTTGTTGTTCCATTTGGCTCGAGAACGCAACCTAAAGTGGCTTCTGTTAGATCAGCTGCAATAACTACTTTCCACAAAAAAAAAACTAAACAAATACAACTGGCAAGTCTTTTAAAACATTTTCACAGTACATCAGGAAATCAAAATTTAATGACTTGAAAGAAACCAAAAATTCCCACTAGCACCAGCATGGCATTGTATTAGAGCGGTGCTGAAATTAACTTCGTGCTAAACTGAGACACAACATCCCATGAACGGTTCGGACAGAGACGTGTGCTGGCATCAAAAGATTCACTCATCTGTATGCAGTCGAAGCACAAAGCGTAGGAGATAAATATTCCACTTTTAAAGGGGAAATATTCTTTAGCCAGGACACAGACTGGTCTGGACAAATCTGTGAAATGGGCCAGGATGGCATAATTTATAAGATTGTACCCTTTCTACAGTTAAACTCACTGTTTCAGCATAATTAATGACCACAGGTGTTTTTTTCCTCTCTGTGGCGCTTTTTAAGTGGTTTTCATAAATTAGTTAGTGCTGTGGATTAGTGATATGAAACTGAATCAGCCATGTGAGTAAAGGCAGTGGCATTTGTGTGTCTTGACTGCGCTCTACTGGTGAAAAGATGAACTGATGAGTGATACTGACTCTTAAACCCACCTCCCACCCAGAATATATGCATTCAATTAATGCACTTCCCCTGGTCTTTATCTTGCACATTGCAAGTATCATTATGTGTCACAGTGCTAACTTGGTCCCTGGTCCATTTTATGCACATTTCTGTACAGCTCTTCACTCATTTAAGTATCCGGCCATATTGTACATATTCTCTCTCTTTATATTTGTATATATTGGCTCCTTTTATTGCCTCTATGCTTAATTGTTATGCACCAACTTACCAAGGCAGATTCCTTGTATGTGAAAATCTAGTCTTACTTTGTCCATACCCAAAGCTATTCAGTTTTCTGTCAGAGGACTAAAGAATCCAGCAAATGTTCACATTTGTGAAGCTGAAATTAGAGATTTTGAACATCTTTTCTTAAAAGCGATTAATGATCATCAAAATAGTTTGCAATGAATTCACTACTACAACTAATGAGTTAATCCATGTATTTGCTGCAGCTCTAATTGTAGTGTGGTTTTTACTAGACTGCATTAGTTTCAGCTAGGCAACAGAGTTTATAATAAGTAAAGGATTCATAGAGTAGATGCTCTGAGGGACTGTCAGATGTCGATAGAATGATATTTCCTGCTAATGCTGAGTATGAAACTAGTTTTCTCAGCTGATCCGCTGCATGGATAGAAAAGAGGATCTTGCTTGCTTATGCCTCAGAATCAGTGAACTGGATCTGGAAAACAATATTCATCATAACAGCAGTGACTGTGGTTTTGTAAAAGTATTTTACAGCTTTATCTGAGAAAACAAAACTTGAATGAAATGGTGCAGATATTTTAGTATTTACATTTTTCTCATCGCTCCGTGAAGACTAAGTGTAGACGTTCCCTACCTGAAGCGTTGAAGCCTCCACTGTTAGGACTTCTAGTTTTCAATCACGTCTGCTGCTAGACACATTTTGTCATATTTTAATGTCTGTTGCTCTCTTTAATGTTTCCCTTTCTTCTTCCAGCTGTTTGATATTTTGCACAGCGAGTAAGAGTCTTGAGAGGGATGAAAAGAATGAAAAAGGCTATTTTCTTTTTTTTGTCCTTTTTCAATCAACTAATAGAAACGTCAGGAATTCAATCAAGAAATCAAAAAGAGGTCATAGAAAACCATCCTACTATATCATAATAAAATAACCAAAGACATTATTGAACCTTGATGCTTAGTGCTTTATCTTGTTAAGACCATCATTTCATAATACCTATTAAAATGTACAGTAACGGGGGTAGGGGGACATTTCGTGGACTGAGAGTTCTGTTCTTAGCTGATTATAGCTCAGTATAGCTGTCTCCTTTAATCTCATCAAGAAAAATGTGCCGTTGACAGCACAAGAAATACTCATACATTAATGCAACTCTGTGCACTTCATGCCCCTTCATTAATAATGTATAATAATAAATGGCACTTGCTAATTCTAGCCACTGACACTATCAAACAACAAAGATAAACAGATAGAAGAGTACAAACAAACTTAATCAGATTTTTTATACAACCGTGATGAGGGTTGATAATGGTTTATAGCTTCATCAGCTTGTGTATCATGTAGCCCGCATCACATTTCTGTCAACACTTGACAGTGGAATGACACAATGATATAATGCCATGTATGGGCTATTGTTTGGGCGTGATAAAATTCAACCTTACATCAAGACAGTCACTTTTAAAACCTCATTTAAATTTGCAAAGATTGTCTCTGCCTTCTCATGAGGAATGCAGCCTTGGAGTTCAGTGTTAGTGGCTCTCAGCAGCCCACAGCCTTATAATGAACCTAGAACAGACACAAGTATTACAGCTCCCTTAAGTAAGATACCCAGTTTTGTCCATATTATAATCCTGGTAGTAGGTACACAGGAAGGAAATATTTGTCCACAGGAAATAAAAACCTTTGTTTAAAAGAGCTCATCAACAAGATCTGAACCTCTTCCACTCTTGTGCTTCCATTCCAATCATACACTCAGATCTTTAGTTCCAAGGACTGCACAGTACTCTGATCTCACTGATGAATGCTGCCCATGGGAAATTCTGAATCTGTAGCTTTTCGAGGACATCACTTTCATCTTCCTGAGCCCTTATAAGAACACAACCTGATGTTTCATCAACAGTACAACCCTCTCTGCACTACTCTCTGAGAAGGCAAGAATAATGCAAGTGTGTCCATCCCCACCAACTCTCCCCTTCGCAATCATGCCGTGGGTGATGAGAACCACTATCAACCAAGCACAGGCTTCCAGCGATGCTTAACCTTCAAGCTGGAGGACCTTGGCTATGTAGATTTAACTGCATCGCCGACACATCCATCATCACACATGCAGGCAAAAGATGAGATTCCACAAACTACACAGATCACTGGCCTGAACACAGAATAATCCAAGCATTTGCTGAGAGAACAGATGGTTAAAGCATTGCAGCAACAAACAATGCAAGAATAGAAGATACCCTTCTAGAGCTTGTACCAATAAAAATACCTACATTTCGGTAAAAAACAAATCTAGTATAACGAGAAGAACAGGAGTAAGAGTGTCGCTGTATTCTGTTGCCAGTGACAGGTTTTGGTACTCTGTGCTGTGGACATATTTGGGGCAGCACTCAAAAGTATAAAAGTTTGATAGCCAGACCAATGGAAACAAAACAATACAATGAACATCAGCACAAAACTCAAGTGTGAGGAGCCAAATACCACTTTACCCATGAGCACCAGCTCCTTTTGCCCTAGAGAAGAAACAGTCAGAGGAGAAGATTTGTGGAAAATTCATAATGCTTCAGTTTTACTATAGGGAGAAAAAATGGTGCACAATAGTTGAACTTGAAAGTGAATGGTAGAATACTGCTGTATCAGGTCTTTATTATACTCACCATTAATGACCCACAAAACAGAATTGTACACTCTGTGGTCATCTTTTGTACTAAACTGGCAAAGTGTCATGCCCATCCGAGCCTTAAAAGTGCTCCAACTGCCAGTCTTGTAAAAAATGTCTATACAAAATTATGGGACTTTTACCTCCAGAACACTGGACATCTGAAATTACTCCTGTCACTGCTCAACTTTATTTTTGAAGTATAAAACCTCCCAACCAAACCCAATCACAAGTCGGTCCAAAAAATCATGCAGCAGCTGAAAAGGAGAATGATGGGTCAAATTTAGCATCGACCCCAATGATGAATCCAGCAGCTCTTGTAGCATTGATCTTGAAACATTTATTCCTGGTGTATTTCAAGCTAAACTTGTAGACGGGGGAGGCTTTAAACAAACCTGACACCCATTTTGTGCTGGCTTGTTGTTCACAAAATGAGATCAGATTGGTAGGGTAAGGTTAAGCTAGCATAGGAATGTTATTGGCAGTTGACGACTGATTGTAACCATGGCCTACTTTTAACCTCCTCCACACACCAGTCCAGCCTCTGTTCACTCAGCTCAGTAGGAATTAAACAGACCTATGGTGATTTATTGCTGAAGTTTCTTATAATGTGAACGCATAAAAAGAGCGGATACACTGAGGTGGAAGAGGTCACGTATAAACGACCTGGGATGTATGAAGGTGGAGCTCAGGGAAGATTTCCCTAGGCAGCAAGGATGAACCCATGGCAATACTAACAAGGTTGAAAATCTTAAGAACAGCCCCTACTTCTTTCAGTATATCCCTGCGGGTAAAGATGGTTAAAGTATCCATCGCAGAATATTCTGTTTGAGGCTATTCCTCTAAAGGAAGACTTGCAGGGGTAGTTCAGCTGGCAGAGCAGTTCCTTCTAACTGTCCTCAGTATGTAATACTGGCAGAAATAGATAAAGTCATAAAAAGTGGATGGTAAAATGGGAATTAATTGAGCAGAGCGGTGTTAAAGACAACATATACAGAAGATTTATATTTGAGCATCGAAAGTACAGTCTTGACCTTGAGGACAGTAGTTTGACGAATTCATCTTGACTTGAAATCCTTTGGAAGTCATGTGATATCAGCTACAAGCTAGAACAGTCAACCCATACAAGCCAAGCCATATCCTGATTAGTTGGCCACAGTTCAATACAGATGATCTGCTGCCTCCAAGTATGGCAGACAACTTCACACTTAACATGATGAAGTGCATAAAAAAGGGATAATATATGTCGGATAGAACTATTGTTTTTGATAAATCTAGCCCAATCTTGCAACTGCTAATAAATGACAAAGGGGTAGAGTTGTTGGTTGCTTACAAGTCCTTTTTCCTTATCCATTATTGTGCTAAAGGTACCACATAGTGTTTAATGTCGGTGTGTGAGATAAAAGGAGCTCTCCCAGTCACATGTTAAAACACTGAGAAATTAAAGAACTGGCTGTTCCACTGGCAGATCCACAGCTGAGCTGAGAACAGCTGGGGCTGACAGATTCCTCCATGGGGCCACATTGGATTTAATTTGATTTGATTGTTAATGATAGCTTTCCCATTATCATTATACTAGTTTGCTGACAAAACCTACCAAAACTTCCACCACAAAAAAATCTTTAGAGGTGTCTGTTGGTACAGTTTACTGCAGCATTAGCCCATTAAAACTGCAGACAGAGGCGTCGTAGTGTCGTGTAGTAGAATTGTCCTTTTTACTTTATGTTGTTCACTTGATTACAAGTATATACTGTACTTTTAACAATTGTTATACTTCACTTCATTCTTTGCTGGAAATGTATTTAAATTGGCATTATAGATCCAACTCAGCACAGCTACATACATACTGATGCAGCCAGTGATTGAGCTTGATAAGAAGTAATGAAACACAAACTAAAATTAGGAATTAGCCAGACATCTTAAGAATAGTCTGCAACCTAATGCAAGCTCTGTTTTTATTATGTTTACCCAACTGCAGTTTTTGTTGGCTCTACAGATACACTTGGACTTAATAGTTTATTACATGGGATGGCAGTTGTGAGTAATGAATTGTACCTTGTTTCTTGCAGCTTAGATAAAGTGCTGGATTCAGGCTTGTATACTGGAGAGATAACAGAGCTGTCAGGAGGCCCGGGAAGTGGCAAATCTCAGGTGAACATTTCCTACTTTCCCCCTCCATCACTGATAATTTCACTCGCATAAAATCCCTCTTTTTAGAATACCCTCTTCTCCTTATAGAATAAGAAATTGTACCATGGCTGAAATAATACTTCTCAGAGTTACAGTTTAGCTAACACAAATTGTCTATGCTATCTTTGACTATTCCCTACACGCTTGTCATGTCTTCTAGGTGTGTTTTGGCGTTGCAGTGCACATTTCTTATCACCTTAAACAGAGTGTAATATTCATCGATACGACTGGAGGGCTGACTGCCAGACGCTTGCTTCAAATGCTGCAAGCTGAAACAAATAATACAGAAGAGCAGGTGAGTTGTCAGGAATTGAGTGGTAAACAAATATTACATGATGTGTAATATAAAACAATATGAAACAAAACTGTCATTTTACAGATGGAAGCTCTTCAGAGGATCCATATCTTCCGTTTGTTTGACGTTTTCTCTTTACTCGACTGTCTGTACGGTCTTCGCAGTGGCAGGCTTCAGCAGGTTAGTTTGCACTCTTTTTTTTTTCTGTTTATTTTGCTTAAAATACACCAACAATCCGGCTGTACCCGGAGAACCTTTTTGAGAAAGAAAGATGAAATTTTCAGCAGTCTAATTTTGTCACATTTCTTATTAGGCGTCTGTTGGCGGTGGCTCCGTCAAGGCGGTGATCGTGGACTCCGTGTCAGCTGTTATCGCTCCTCTACTGGGAGGCAAACAAAATGATGGTGATATCTCTTTCTGCTGGTCCATCATAGTCCATCATACCTGAGGCTGTGTTTACACCCGAGCCCGTAAACTCCAAATGTCTGTCTGGAAATAAATATCACAGCAGGGCCCCCCCACACGTTTTGGAAGCATGACATCGAAAGTTATTTCCAATCATAAGAAAGTGTGAAAATAACGTAAAATAGTGTTTATATAGCCACAGTAAACCCCAAACTATCAGATTTAGAGTAAAAGCTCAAATTTCTGATATGAGTTATAAATAGAGCTGTTTTCATTAACCTGGGAGCTGCTTCAACAGGAGTATGGCCTCTTGACAGTCAAACTAATTAAAGTTCTTAATCCAGGTGAACTTTATTGCTAACAATTGGTTAATAGAAAGCTCCCAAACTGTGATGTAATTAACCAGTCACTCAATGCAACAGGGTTCAAAGAGGGCATCTAACATAAACCTGACAGCCTCTGAAAAGACATCACAAAAGGCTAAAAAAACCTCCAACAGTGTAATTAAAACTAAAAACTAATAAGTATTGTGTTAAAAGTTATAGACACTTTTAACAAACACTACTGGTCTGTGTATACTCACTTATTCATGAATACACGACCCACCTCAGCTCGAGCTTGGAGACGTTTGTTATAAGGCAGTTTTTCTTTCAAGCTGTTTCCTTTCCTCCACACCTGAGCGGGTCTGGGCAAATACAAAACGCAGCAAAAAAATCAAATGACATATGAAGATAACACTGTAACAAAAGCACTATAAACCTCTCGAAGCTGGAGGTTAAAGACCAGCAGAATTAGCTCAGTTCAGTGTATCATTTTGTTGTTGAGTGAATGTTGAGATGAAGTAGTTGCCTCATGAATGAATTATTAATGTCAGAAAACAAATAGGAATCATTGACCTCAGCACTCCATACATTACTCTGTGATGGGGCTTTAATAACATTTCCGAACCGCAGGAGAGGAGTCAAAACGCCTGTTATCCACTCTTGTTTTTTGAGTGCGCTGTTGATGCACACTAGGCTCCCACGATGCAATACATAAAGGAAATGAAAGAGCTGCTCACAGCTGGAAAGAACATAAAACGGTTCGCGGATCAGGGTGAAACCACTTCATAAACACTTCAGGAAACAAAACAATAACTTACATTTTTGGAAAAATCTTTTGCTTCCTCGTTTTGTTAAGTTTAATTGGCAGTGGCATTGCAAAACCACAATTTGATTACCTTTGCACAGTGCACGTATTGCATTATCTACTGTTAGCAAAAAATGGTAAAGTGTGATGAATTCTTGTAACTGCAAAAAACAGCACACAATAAAGATGAGTTACAGTATAGTAAACAGTGGGGCAGCTCTATGGTGCTGTGCTTGGGTTCTTCAAAATGCCCAACACCAGCATGCTAATCCTTCATAATGACAACGTATACTTGATGTTTAGCAATTAGAAGGTAATGTCCTAGTTTAGCATGATAGCTTGCAGATATTGTTTTTTATTGGCACCAAATACATAGCACGGTTGGGGCTGTGGGGACTGTCATTAGTTTTGCAGGTATTTGGTCATAAACCAGAGGATGGATAAACTGAAATTTGACCTGCTGATGGCACAAGATGAAAAACTGAAGCCTCTGAAAACTTGGTTTCAAATGTCTCTGTAATATTGGCTACATAAGCAAAAATTGAGAGTTTAACACTCAAACAAACGTTTATCTACACTGGCAACATAAACAAACAAGCCAGCAGGTAGAAGGAAGAACCAAAACAGAGAAATCTCCTGTGAAATAAACTGTGCCAGTAAAAAGCGGGTTGAAAGTATAGGTTTTTAGGGACTTTAAGCAACCACCAAAGTTGTTAAAATTCATCTTGCAGGGACCATGAATCTCAGCACAATATGAAAGGCCGTAAATATCACAACAATTATATCTGTAGCCCCGAGTTATTACTCTTGAGTTGCTTACAAAGTACCACTGAAAGACAAAGAGACTATTCTGTTCACGAACAAACCCCTCTCCAACTTGCTGTGCCTCCAGGCATGTCCTTGATGATACAAGTGGCAGGAGTTCTTAAGACGATGGCAAAGGACTTCAATGTTGCTGCTTTGGTAAGGATGACACGGTCCTTGACGTGTGCTACTCTAAATGCAAGATGCATTTTCAGTGTCAAGCTAAACTCTGCACAAACCCTTTCACACTTCCTCTTGTTATTGCTTCGAGACCTCAAATGAAAACTTTCTTCCCACCAGTGTTTGGCTAAGAAAACAAAATCCAAGATAAAAACTAAAGGTTATTCATTTCTGACAATTAAAGGTGTAAAAGAAAGATCCATTTGTTAGTTAAGATGTATGACTGGAAGATACAATTATGTCAAATATGAGCTAATCACATTAAATAGCATGCACCAAGGATAATTAGCTTTCACCTCAAATCATCAAGTTATTCCAAGCGAGATAAAGATAATTTGATGGTCCAATTTGATTAAAAGTGGAACAATCAGGCATTTTGGCCATTTTCTTCCCCTCTTCTGAAGCTTGTACAAGCTCCAGCAAGCTATTCTAAACCATAAAGCAGCATAAAGAAAGGGTGTGATAATCCCCCCCCGACAGAAAAAACAACAACTAAAGACTTAACCCAACGCTGTCTGGGCCGGCAGGTTACAAACCATGTTACGAGAAGTGGCAGCGGGGAGTTGCAGCCGGGCCTCGGCGTGTCGTGGAGTCACATCCCCAGAACCCGGATCCTGCTGGAGCACGTAGAGGAGGCCACGGCCGTCAGCCACTCCAGTCTGCGCTCTGCAACACTGATCAAGTCTTCCAGACAGGTACCGCGTGCGCGATTGACTTGCACATCATCTAACTCAGTATTGATTCTGTCAAAGTGGTTTCGCTGAGAGGCGAATGTCAAAACGTCTTGTTAAAATGGAGACTTTGAAGTTGTGTTTGCTCTTTTAACAGGTTCGGTTTGATAAAGAAGCGCTTTATTTCCATTTAAGAGCAGCTTCCAGTTAGATTTTAATAAGAAAAGTTCACCAGTCTTATCGCTCTAATTCACAAAGACAGACTGTGGCAGACAGCGGTCTCATTCTGCTCATTCAGATCCAGGACACTCAGCTGTCCAATTCAGATCTCATGTACGGACACTTGTCCATCTACAAAATGCAAAACCATGAGTAAGTTGGCCACGTTGGTCGGATTTCTTTTGGCTTTTGTTTTCTGGCCGTCGTCTCTAGCTGCTATTTGGAGCTGTGACTGCCGATTACAGAGTGCAAGAGTAAATACTGTTGATGAAGTCTATCCTGATCTTTTATTCAATGCCTTACTACCGTCATCAACATTTCCTTTTTTACTATAAAATGTACTGTAAGCAGTTTTTAGCTTTTGTACTGCAGTTTTCTGTGCATTGTTGGTATTGAAGTCCAGAAAGGTGTAGACCCGCTGCCTTCAGAGGCCAAAACTGTCAACAATTCCTTCTATTATTTTAGGCATCCACTTGTTTCCATTCATTTCCATATAGTATAAATATCCAGTCTCTTGAAACTTGCTCGAGTAATGTAATCCGTCACATCATTGCTGCGGTATTTTTGTTGCTTACAGTATCATGAGGTAATGCAGTGCGCTGTATTACCACATAATTGCATTGACAAAAATGAATGCACACTTGATGTTCACTGTGATGGATTACGTAACTCAAGTAAGAAAACAGAAAGGAATGATGCCTTGAACTGTGGGAAAGATACATGATTTGTCATTAAGGAGCTAAAACTTCCCCATACACATTTGTTGTTGTCTACACTTTTATTATTTCATAGCTTATTATGTGATTATCGGTCATTATATTATTTCCCATCCCACTTCCAACTTTAGGCAATGTGCACTGAGTTCTTAAATATAACTATTTCCACAACCGCAATTACTGTGGTGTCCAAACATTTCAGTACATTTAAATAGTGAAAGCAGCAGTATGTCTCTGATTATATTGTCGTTTTTTTTAAATGATGAGAGCCTAAGATTTCTCAAAGGAAAAGCAAAGTGGAAGCTTTCTGTACAACAAATGCACTGTTAGTGGGTATTAATGACAACAGGACAAAATTACTACTATTGCTAAAACTGTTCTTCAGTCGTTACTTCTTCCTCCTCTCATAAATCACTGTCCGCGGAGGCTTTAATTATGCATTTCTTGTTTTGGAGTTATAAAAGAGGTCCGTCAGTTGAAAACAAAGACGTGCTTTGACAAGGCGCATTCAGAATGAACATAGCCTTAAATGAATGTTTCATATTGCAGCTGAGTTCCTTTCATTTATTTTTTTTATAAGTAAATCAACACTGTCATCTGCTCTACTTCTTAGCCATGTCACATCAAAGAAGAGTTCGACTTGCAGTGGTGGAGTCGCTCTAAAGAAGGATCCTCAGGAAAGAGAAAACTGGATGAGACTGATTCCTGATGAGAGCAAACTGCAATATTCTGCTTAAATGTCTGATCAAAGGTACATGAACGCATCTGGACCAAAACGTATGTGTTTGAAGTTTCTGATTTCCCCCTTTCCCCCTCTGATACTACAAAGCACCACGCGCACAGTTCAATGATTGCTAAACTTTATTCCAATCAATGCTACTAGCGTTAGCTCCTCAGTTTGTTACCTCCATTAGAATAATGGATAATGGCTTCAAAATTGACCCATTTACATCCCGACACTGGCAGTATTCTCATTCGAGATGCTTTCAATGCTCAGCTGCAGCATTAACATTTCATCGGGCAGCCTTTGTGAGTGAGAGCATATTATAGACACAGATTCTTTGATTATGTCAAACTGAAGATTTCCAGCAATTCTGTGTTTTTACCTGCTGAGAAGAGGGACAAATACAGAAGTCCTTCCTGCTTTGTGTCCTTCATAGGAAGCACAGTGTGGATTTTGCCCCCTCAGAGCTTCAGTACTTTTAAACATTTAATTAAACCACCTCATAGCCTAAAGTATCCCAGGGTTAAAAAAAAAAGAGGAAATCTGAATTATCTGTGAAAGCTATTCAGATGCAGGAGACTGCAGTAAAAGCCTTTCAGCATCTCATCGAATTTTACAAAAAGTCTTGTGATTTAGACTCAAAGTGAAATGTATTTAGTGGAGGAGGAGGAAAGCCTTCCTAAAACTACTAATTCTCCCCATATCATCTTGGTAAATTCTAGAGCAGCCTGTCAGGAGTTTGGGAAGGCAGTGGTTGCGCCGTGAGAAATCCGTTTCCATCTTATTTGCAATATCTCCGTGTTTTCTGCAAGTAGCTGCAGTGCATATTGGTGCAACACTTCAAACACAATGTAGAAAATAAAGAGCATTAGAATGATGTTACTGAGACACTTTCATTATCTTTATCAGCATCTTGTTTATTCCTGATGCCAGACAAATTTGGTTCCTCTCAGTTCATGAGCTGGAGTTTTATACCTCGCAAAACGTTTCACTCGGGCTGTAAAAATGATGCTGATAAAACCCTGTGTCTTAATTCTGCTGCATATTCATTTTCTCGTCTGTACTGTGATTTACGTTACAAAATAATTTCCATGATGTACAGTGATCATTTGTAGCTGCTTCGACATTTCTTATAAAAACTCTACATCTACGATACACACGGATGAAGTCAAACAGACATCTGGCCCCAGTATTCACAATCCTCAATCTACCCAAAATTAAACGTATACCTCTGCTGGTTTGCGAGTGTATGAAACAAATACAATTCGAAAAGAGTAAATAAAAACAACCTCTGAGAGCAGTGTGTTATTGACCTCACGGACAGTGTCTGGTGACAGTTATCCCCCCCCTCAAAAACAATAAAGATCCACCCTGTTGATGAGTTTAACACAGATTCAGTTACACAGGTGTGCAGCAGTTCATGGACAGGTTAACGCAGTGTATAAAACGTGTGTGTTCTTGTCTTTATTGTTAACAGGGAGGTACAACGCGCCTCTTGCGGATACATTCCCAGATCCAGCTGGGTGACACTCTCTGGGCCTGGCTGTCCTCGTCAGGTTCAGCCAGCGTGTGTGTGGCCGAGGCTGCGTCGTAGTCCGGCACGAGGTCCCCGTCGTACGCCACAAAGTACCGCCTCAGTTTGTCAAAGTCCTGCACTGAGACGGGCAGGAAAAGCTTCACCCCGCTGAAGATGTCCAGCAGCGTCTACAGGAACCAACAATACAAATGGGTCAGCACAGGGTTGATTTTCCCCAAGTACAAAGAAATCACAATTCTGACACTGATTAAAACATTGACTATTCTTCTAATTAAAACTAGCAGAACCCAAAGTGTACACCCATAATGAAAAATGATCCAAATTGTAATGATTGAACCTGACATTATTTTCAGTTGTTGAAATCAGCTTATTGGTTCCTATTGTACTTGCAAAGGCAATTGTCCCGCCCCTTTTTGTTCTGTGGTCCAATAACAGTCCAAACCGTGGCCAACTTTTTCCTTTCCTGTACTTAGATATGCTCTGTGCTAGGATCATCTGTGTAGAAAACAACTAAATGTTCAAGATGGTTAAAAGATGAAAGACATATCATCACATCAAGTTATCTAATGTTTTGTTATTAGCTGACTCTGTTTGTACCAAATTTCAAAGATGGTTACAAGATAAAAGTGACAGAGCCTAGCACATAACATGAGGACAGGACAAAGTTCTGTCATTGGAGCAGAACTTAAAGGGTCAATTGCTGAGAATGTGAAATACGGCAGGAGGCATACACAAGCTTTGAAAAGGCCGGGCGTGAACAAACCTCCACATGAGAAAAACTACGTCAGAACAGAAATGATTCAGTTTAAAGATCAACATCCTGGTTCCACTCGGACCAGCTGTACCTGACGAATTATTAGAACCATTTCGGGTCTGCTCACAGTCATTATTATTATCGTTACTGTCATCGTGTTTACAATCAGTCCCGTTTCTTGCCTTGCACCCATTTTTAGATGTCACCGTATCCCCAGAGCTCCGTAATTACCTTGACTAATGTTATAATAGAACTGATGGCCAGAGCTGCAAAAATAAGCTTCTAGTTGTAAGACACCATAGTTTTTCTTCTAACTCTTGGTTTGTAAATTATTTTCTAGAAGTACAGTTTAATTAGCCACTCTGGGTTTGAATATGTGGGAGCTGGACCACCACTACACTGTGTACAGACAGAGACCTGACAGAGTGCCCTCGCTGTTGACCAACCTTATCGTTCCTTGGCTCCAGCAGCTGAGAGGTTGCCTTTGCTTTGCTTTGTCCATTGCTGTGTACACTTTTACTCCTGATCTGGTGGGGAACACTTTCAG